TTTACCGCTTAGGCAATAACGTTGACAGTAACGTATATCTTCAACATAAGTTGTCTATGACCAAAAATGTAAGTTGTTCAGTGGACTTTTAAAATTTGCTTTGCTTGAGAAAAAAAAAAAATTCAGCTAGTGTTTTTTTTCTTTTGATTTAGTCGAGTTGGTTTTGCATCAAACACAATGTAATTTTCGGCAATCGAGATCTGGCAGCAACACAACGGCGCATTTTTCCGCTTGGGCGAGCGCTTCGCTGAAAGCTTACCTCGCGCATTAAATTAAATCTGCCGCAGACCAGCAAATCACTGAGAACGTGCTATAATCCTGACGAGTCATAGCAACAGAGCGGAGACGAGAAAGCTGCGGAGAATCCGCTCACCAGGAAGCAACCATAAATGACGTAGATTTACAGAAAATTACTGCCGTTTGGCAAAAAAATAATTTTACGTGCTTATTCCTAACTCTTTAAGCTTTAAGTTACATTTCAAATGACAAGGGAACAATTTATAATCTTGTTTATATGAATTATCCCGTGAACTTATTCTCTCAAATGGCCTGGGTATGCGGAGCATATATATATGGACGGAACGCCACTGCCTTAAAGATACATATTAGTACTTCAAAAAATGCATATTAGCATTTAAGTGTACATATTAGGGCTGTCAAAATGACTGAAAAACTAAATTCGAATTTTCTACTTAAATATTATCAAAATTCGAATTATATTCGAATTTAAAAGGCGTAATTTCAGTTAGGGGGAAAAAAAGCTTTTGGCATCTCTCCTGAGGCCACAAGAGGGCGCATCGAGCAAAATATTATGCACGTTTCTTCAAAGCGTAATAAAATAACACGACTATCTTTGAAAAAAGTGCATAATGTTTAAAATAATGTTTATAAACCATATATAGAATTAATAAAGTTGCTTAAACAATAAAAAAAACAGCACCATGCATGTATGTATAGTTTAATACAAAGGACCGAAAACCAATCACAAAGGTAGGCTACTTTCTTCATTTAAAAAAATGAGATACAGTGGGATGGGGAAAAACCGCCATAAAGTCTTGAGACATGTTTTTTAAAAGTTGAACTTACATTAATTTTACATAGCTTTCTAAACATGCCGCTCTCTTGTGTGAGACGCGAGTGCAACGCTGATAGATGTCCGTCTAGAAAATGTGATAAATATGCGTTCTGTGTGAACGGCTTGGTTTCAGTTTTGACGTAAACAACATCTTCTCCGCATTGATGTTCTTGTTTTCCGCTATATATTGAATGAACAACGTAGCAGCGCCGCATCTAGTGGGTTCAACTGAATAGGCTAACAAAAGCATTAAAATGCAATGACGCTTACATCGTCGTCGCATTTCGTGCGCCACTGATAAGGCTGCCTGACGGCTGACGCAGACCTAAAATTCGAATGCAAAGTTTTTTTTTTTTAATTCGACGAATATTAAAAATTTGAATTTTTTTTTGACAGCTCTAGTACATAGTATCTTTTGAAAGGCTAGCGCCACAGTGACAGCTTTGTACCTCTTTTTCTGAGTGCTGCTTTAGACTATGGATCTCGTGCACTGCCTATGGGAGCAAGTTATGAGGAAGGGAAAGGTTTTGACTCCAGCTCTGCCACACACACATGCACGCATGCATTACCCCTGCTGTGAAAACGGCTGTGTTTCCTCCCTCCAGCATCTCCTCCAGCTCCTCATCAGTTGTGGTTTTACCAGCTAGAGCGAGAAGCAGAACAAAAGCAAGTCAACGACAGAAAAGGGGAATAGCACAGTGTCAGTTTGACACGCTTCAACCACAAGCTTGAGAAAGAAACGTGCTGTACGCTGCACACTGTTTGATAAGAGCTGTCTCACGCACTGTTGTTTAGTCAGGAGTGACTTACTGATCTCTAATTGTCTCTGAATGCGACCTTTGCTTTTCTCTCTGAAGTCCACCTGAGCTTCATTGTATTTGGTCATCACATCAACAAACTTCCTGGAAAGTACGGCGTGCTGGCAGGGCAACATGAGGGCAGAGTTAATAGAGCATGTGTATTTGTGTGTGTTACCTGAGCGGGATGCTGACTCACCTGTGATTTGCGTATTCTCAAGTCGGCCGATACTCTCTCCACTTCTTCCATCTCGAGATTCCTTTCAATGGCTGTATGGACACACACACACACACAAACACACACACACACACACACACACACACACATACACACACACACACACACATTATATTATTAGTTAACTAAAACTAAAATAACATCATAAAAAAAAACCTTAACCTTACTTTTCAGCTAGTTGCCAAAGCAACATTTAGGTTCAGGTTCAGGTTCAGGTTCACTTTATTTGTACCCATAGGTAGACTAGGTTTGCAGTGTTATGAGTTCTCACAGCTTTCACATTTTACAGACACCACAAACATTAACCATGTTAACCATAAACTAGTTCTCATTTAGTTTAATTTGATGTACTAAAATGACTAAAACGGCATTAAAACGTATATAGACATTTAAAAAAAAGAAAGAAAGAAAAGAAAAAACATAAAAATATCAAAAACACAAACAATTACTAAAACTTGAAATAAAATGAAAACAAATATGAAAAGTAGCATCTCAGTGATACTCAAATAACATTGACAACAGGGTAAATATTGCTTTTCTAAAGGTAAAAGATAAATGGCTCACATTATTCTGGGTCAGAAGTGTTTGTAACGCCAAGCCTAGTTCTTTGTGGCCTATTTCTTTCACCTAATGAGAACAGCACAAAGCAGTCCTGTAAACGAGCAAAGACACTTACTCTTCAGTTTGTTACGAGCATTGTTGGCCATTTTCTTGATATCGTTAGTAAGCGACTCCAAATCATCCTGCGTTTCTGTTCACAGACAAGAAAACAGAAGTTCAGCAGATGAAGATGTGTGTGTTTTGTCATTGTTAAAAGGTTGTTCTTTCAAAGCTCAGTAGACTAAACGGAGTTAGGTTTCATGCACACTACTGTTCAAAAGTTTGGGCTCGGGATTTTTTTTTTAAAGTCTCTTATGAAGGAAACTACTTACTGCAGTGTATCATATCTCATGTAATCGATGTCAATAAAAACTGTTTATAAACAATATGTCCTATAACGTTTACCTCAGGTAAGCCAATCAATGTCCATAACTCGTTAGTCAACTAGAAACGAAATAACTCTAGAAAGGACCATTTTGCTAAATATATGCATTATATTACATATTTATTATAGTTTTACTTAACCTGTTAGCGATGCCTTATTTTATGTTTGAATAAATCTGCCATGAGTTTTATTTCTAATGAGTTTCATTAGGTATCTTATAAAAAGATTTGACATTTTTAATTATTCAGTTGTTCACTGCTAATTTTAGCTCATAATTTAACTAACGTTAACTTATTCAGCTTGATGTTAAAAATGTATTAGCACATGTACAGCGTAAAACATATAATTTTAAATTTAAGGTATAAAAAGGACGCTGTAGTTGCCAGAACTTAAAAACATGGTGGCACTGGATAGGATATTGGTGCCTGTGTATTTTACAATGAACATTAACTCATAACAGAAAAAGTATCATTAATGTCCAGCAATGATAAGAAATTTTTTAAATAAAATTTAAATTAATTTTAAATGTAATAAAATAATCATATGTGAAGTGTCATGAAGAAACTTCTAGGAATGTCCTATGGTAGTTCAGTTTCCTATGAATTCGACAAATTTTGACAGTATTTTACAGTAAAAATGCATATATTACTATGTTAAACCAATTAGAGTTTTTCACCATATATGTTAAGGTAATTTACAGTTAACCAATTTAGTTTTTTACTGTAACATTTTTACAGTTTTTTTTTTGAAGAGAGATACTGTTATAAACATTTTTACATGTGTTGAAATTGACATTTAACAAATGCAATAAAAGTATTCTTGACTGTCTGTCCATGTTAATTATTGCATGAACTAATGTTAATGAACAGAACTCTAATGAACAGATGCTACCTTTACACTAGCTGTGATATAACAACATTATTACTACAGTATATGACTCATGTTCAGTCTGTTTCACCTGCTACTACCAGTCAGTGGAAAACAATGCAGAACTGGGTCAAAATGCCCACAATGAGTGCACATGAGCCCGTCTCTTACTCTGGTCTGATGTTGGTGCAGAAAGAATAACTGAGTAAATTTTCTTCACTTCAGCCACATTATCATCGATCTTATCAATGCTGTTCCTGATGTCTTCAATCTGAAACAAGCAATAAAGGTCACAATGACACACATTCAGACAAAGCGCACCAAAAGTATTTTCAAAAAACACACACTGTAAAATACACAGAAGAACATGCCTGGGAGAAGAACTCATCCATAAAGGCAGCGTTGTCCACGGCGATCTCAACATCATCATCATCATGATCGCATGTCTGAAACATACAATGTAAGAAGTGCATACTAAATGACCATTTAAGACACATTTAGAAAAATATTTAAAGGGACAGTTCACCCAAAAATGAAAAGTCTGTCATCATTTACACACCTTCAAGTTGCTCCAAACCTGTATGAATTTCTTTCTTACTTCTGTTGTGCACAAAAGGAGATATTTTGAAGAATGTGTGTAACCAAACAGTTGCTGGTAGCCATTGACTTCCATAGTATTTTTTTTACATCAACTGGTTACACACATTATTCAAAATATCTTCTTTTTTTATAAATAATGACAAAATTATCACTTTTGGGTGAACTATCCCTTCAAACTACTTTAATTACATATCTACTGCTAATATTGAGCAACTCTCAAAAAATGACAGGTAATTTCCAGGATGGGGTAATTCTAAGCCAATAACAATAACTGAAAATCAAGAACTAACCACTAATTTTACTTCTTGCAGTTTAACTCTTTCAAACCCTTTTTCAGCTAGTTAATTAGATTATGTATTCAAAACCAAAGATAGCAAATAATCAACTTTTAAATTGTGAATGGCAATTTGCTAACAAATCAGAAGTGACTCATTTCATATTTATGAAATATGATCATAGTAACCATAACATGAATTAGTAATCAGACAGCCATGTGTCATATTGTTGTAAAGGGCCCAACTGCTAGAATACAAAAAGCATATTTATTTCATGCACAACAAGTGTTATTTTATGAATAAAAACGAATAAATAATAAATATTTTGAATTAGCTTTAATTTTTGTAGCTTCAGTTTTTTATTCATGTTTTAGTAATCTTGTTAGGTGTGTTTGCCATTATTCTTAATATTAGTGTTTTTTTAATACTTCTACTTAGTTTTAATTTGTTTTTATTTCAGTTAAAGTGCTTAAACTTATTTTAGGCAACATTTCTAATTTCCATTCAAGTTTTTCAAGTGTAAGGTTTTCGTTTTCGTATTTGAACGTTTTTCAGCTTTATTTCAATTTATTTCAATTATTTCAAATCTCCACTGAATCACAACCTACAGTATATGTTTATATTAATAAATGTTTATATTTTATATCGAGCGTTCAAAAGGCAGAACTATGGCAATGGGCGTATGGTTTCCGGCACGTGCTGTGCGCGGTAGACCAATCACAACAGACTGGGCCATCTGACCAATCAGAGCAGAGTAGGCTCATGGAAAGGAGGGGTTTAGAGAGACTGAATCTTCAAACAGCTTCAAACGAATCGTTTGAGAATCGTTGGAAAATGAGGTGATATTAAATGCATGTTTTGAGATAACAGAAGCATTTTTTTGACCTTGTAGGCATGTACACCTATTGTAGGAGACTCCCAAAACACAGTTAGAAACCTTAATGGAATAATAGGGGCACTTTAATAATAACTGAATATGTTATCAGTGAATGACATATCAGTCATCGATATGTTGTTCACCTCTTGAAAAAGTCATGAGTTTATAGTCTAGTCCTCTTTAGATTTGGGTTCTTTTATGTTTAGTTATGGGTTTCGTAATTAAACTGCACTTTAAGAACATGGTTCTTACATTTATCATGTCACATGAATATCCGGTGTTACAGGCCTCTGCTGACAAGGCACAATGTAAGCTGCTCTGAAACAGCAGAAGGACTGCTGTGTTAGCAAACTGTCAAATCTCCATTTTTATTGCATGTAAGCTCTTCTTACATATAAAACATGGCTGAGGTAGAATGAAGTACATGCATGATGTAGGGTAAATTCAATTGTGATTTCGTGTGGGCTTTAGAAATGTTACAACTGCCAGAGTGTCTTGCACTGCACTTTTTTCTTTGCCATGCACATAAAGGTGTGTCTTGTGACGTTTTATGAAGAGCATGTGGAGACCAGTACTGTTTTTCCACTTAGCTTTCCTGTCGAATGACACAACAGCAGTATAACACACTGACACCGCCACAGAACAGAGAATGGCGCGTGATAACATTATAACTCAAATGCGAGTCAGAAGACATGAGGGTTGAAGTCTGAGTGAAATAACACCTTTTTTATGACACCACTCAAGGATTTCTCTATAGTCATCAAACTTGCAGCTCCGTCACTCCACCACAGAGGAGCCAAACATACACACATACACACACTGTGAAACCCAATATGAAGACAAAGCACTTTTACTCATTCAGCATTTCTGACGGCTCAAATGACACTTTCAAAAACATTCCATGGTAACCATGGTTTCTGCCAAATTACCAGCCATATTTAGTTACAGTTATATGCTTCTGTAGAAATATGTAATAGGAGATATCTACACATCTGTCATTTGATTTAAATTTTTAAAGACATACACTACTATTCAAAAGCTTAGCATCAGTCGTTTTTTCTTAAATAGAAATGTATTATACTTTTATTTAGCAAAAATGTAGACAAATGCTGTGATACTACTGCTGTTAATCTTTATAGACTAACCTCAAGAAACAATCTAAATATCTGAAATTCATGAGCATCATGATGATATCAGTGTAATTTGTAAAGGACTTTACGTTCTTTGTCTTTACTGCTGTTTAGTGAATCAAGCCAGTGATTAAACAATCGACTTCACACGGTTCCTGTCAGCAGCGTGAAAACCATCTGTTCTCTATATTGTTCTCTATAAGCGATCAAAGCTGGAGCAGTCAATACAAGATCATCTGATTTCTGCGTTTTCACCAAACTGCCATTATGGTCAATGACACAGTTTGCACTGCTCAACCAGTCTCTTATTACATTGCGTTTTCACTGTTAGTTATGACGAAAGTATTCGTTAGACTGCAGAAATCTTGTTGCAATAAGGAGATCGTTGTGGTATTCATGTGTAAGTAGACTGTGTTCGGCTACATTGATGCAACGGGAGTAATTCTAAATATAATGCTGTAATCAACACTTTTCACAATCAGTTAATCTTGGTGGCTGTTACAGTAAAAGCACAGTAAACGTTTCTAGAGAGCTAATGCTGATTTCATATGCAAAGATGTTAGCCAATCATAGCAGTGTCCGTTTAGATTGAAGTCTATGGAGTCAGATCAGCCTCAAAAATAATACATTTACAAAACAAAATTCATAAATGCACAGCACAATTTACATTTACAAAATCCGATTCTGTGTGATGGAAATTAATTCAAGAACTTGATATATACATATTTGTGTAAACATTTTAAATGTATTTAGGTAAGATGCATTTGTGTGAGCATTTGGGGAAATATTTATGCTTTTACTTGTGCATTTATGAATTGTGTTTTGAATTTACGTATCGGATTTTGTAAATGTAAATTGTGCTGTGCATTTATGAATTTTGTTTTGTAAATATATTATTTTTGAGGCTGATCTGGCTCCATAGAAGTCTCACAGCAGACACGCCCCTTCCTATCAGAGGACTGAAATCAAGGTAGAAAATTACAATTTATATCTAAAAATGACAGTTTTGATGATACTAAGATTATAAACACACCTCAGCAAACATTATGAAATCATTTTAAAAATGCATTTCACACGAGCCCTTTTCACAAGCCCTCATGATGACAACATGAATGTTGCAGTGTGACGTATGAATCTCTAAACCAAAGAGCAATATTTTTCTTTAGCAAACACCACTAATACCTACAGATCCCCGTAGGACAAAAGTATATTTATTGTGGAAACCAAATTATAAATTTGTTCCCTCGATTTATTAATTCGTTCCTACTTTTTAGTTAAATCGCAACCACAAACTAAGAATTCTTTCCCTTGTTTTATGAATTAGCTCCCTCGTTTTAGTGAAAATATGTCCACAAATCAATAATTCATTCCCTTGTTTTGATTTAATTAAATATAGTATGCATGTCAGGTGTAGAGCTCATTAAATACTCCATAAATACCTGATGATAATTTGGTGGAAACTGGTTACTTACCATAATACATTTTTGTAAAAGACCATCAACTATGGTCTAACATAAAGGCAATATTATGAAAACAAGCACTTACTGAGATTGTACTAGAGAATTTCAGCTGAACTATTCCTGGGACAGTGTAATTTTACCCATCCTTCTGACAAAGACTTCAGCTCTCTTTTCAAGTTTATTTGTAGTATTAACAATGTGTTGCCAACCCAACGGGTTTTTGTGAAGGTCAAAGACACTTACACACACACACGAATGCAGTGTGCTGGAAAAGCTGTGAACTGAGGTAAAGAGATAAGCCTACAAGAGACTTCCTGCTGAAGGAAAATGAGAGAGAGAGAGAGAGAGTGTGTCTTAGTAGGTTAAAGTATAGTGAGTTCATGTTAACAGTGTACCTCGTTTGCCATTTAAATTTGTTGTAGTTTCAGCTGTATTGTTGCGGCTATTCAGCTGAACAACGACACTGTTTTCTTTTTAGATATGCTTTACTGAGCCCTGCACGGGTCTCAAATTTAGGCCCTAGCCCGGCCCTGGCCCGAGACGCTCAGACCCTAGCCCGGCCCGTGTCCGACAGCTTAACAGAATTACCGGCCCGAGCCCGACACGAGTTCGTCTTTTTTTCCCCTTCTCCCAAAACAGCTTATACTACTGTTTCAGCTATTAAAATAGTTCAGTTTTGTATGTAATAGCAAAGTGATTATATTTTGTTTTGTTTTTTTATTAAGTTAATTTAAAAAAACGTTTGGAGCATTTTTTGTTCGCTAAATACAAGTTTTTATTTTTTTAAAGTAACGACCAAGCAGCCAGCGGCAGACAGTGAGCCTACTGTATGTTTGATCAATTTAGCCTTCTCAAATCATCACGACTTGCCTAAAATAAAATCTATAGATATAAAACAGTTCAAGCATATCACAATGTTTAAACGTTAAATCTAGATAAATGTGCACTATATCCAATAGTTTGTGCGGAGACGCTTTGCAGGACATGGAGGCGCCAGCGCGATCGCTTGCATTTTTTTCAGTGTTTACGCCGTCATTTTTGCTCATAAAGGTAAGAGTAATACATTATTCTAAACTGTAAAGGGTCTACTTTTATTTGTGTGCA